AGGCTTAACCCTTCTGATTCAAGTCACATGGCTGATATGAAAAAACGAAGTAATTGCAAGTGTAGTCAGTATTTTGGAGGGGGCAGCAATTTTTTAACATCAAAAGCACTAACATTAAAGCAAGCAAAGATATTAGGGGTGGAGGCAAGTCCTTCACCAAAAAAAACCCCAGCTTGTAGTGATTCCCTGTGCCACATTAGGCAGAAGTATAGTTCTGTGTGTGTTGTCCTAGAAGGAAATACCTGATTATGGCTAAAATATTAAGTGCTGTGATTCTGCAAGCTGGCAGCACCAAAGGGCTGCACTGTTCTAATGGATGATTACCTCTCCTCCCACAATTCTTCAAGCAGAATGGACGGCAGTTTCAGATTGAATATATATTTTCCATCTGCTGAACAGTTGTTTTTATTCGTGCTGTTTGAGGTTAACTGTGCACGTACTAATCAAACCCACTACTTCCTTTCTCGTAAAACCAAAACAAAGCTTCACATTACTTTCAGGTACAGCATCTTGGATCAAAGCTATATATACACACTGGCTCTTTGTGGGTTCAAACATTTCGAAGATTCAGTATCCTGAAAGGTGTCACCTCTTTTCCAGTCCTGAGAGTTCCAGTTTGTCTCAACTTCTGAAGGCACTGGATACCTTCAGCCCCTCCAGCATCTGTCCCAGCACAGGAATGCTCTCAATATTGGTCACCGTGGGCTTTCTCTGCACAGCCACTGCCAGTGCTGAAGGTGGGTAGATGAAGGAGGCAAGGTATCTGGGGGTGTCTGCCTTTTTTCAGTTTCACGTCTTTGCAGGAGATGGATTTGGTACAACAGGGAGAGGGAGGCGACACAGGACCAGATGGGAGTGAGGTCTCGGGGACTGCAAGGTATCTGGAAAATCACACATAGACTTGAGAGCAGTACCATCTGTGGGGACACCGGGCAGAGTAGCTCAAGAAGGAAGACAGATTTTGACAAAACAGGCCCCGCAAGTGAAGTTATGGCAGCTGATAACATGGCTATAGAGGTTAGAATGGAGGGAAAAATTCTACTCTTCTTCATCTCAAATTCTTGCACTGCAGAATTGAAGAAGATAAGCCCTGCCCCATTATGGACTAATGCAAAATGAGATTGAACAAATAACACTGAGTCTTCACAGCTTATCAAAGCAAAAGTCAGTGTCTTCTCATTGTACAGCAGGCCAGAGTACAGAAGTTGTAAAAAACTGTCAGTGGGGATGTCCATAGTACATTAATTTTCCCTTAAGATTTGTAATGATTTTTTTATTGTATGCTTATCAGGCTTTGCTGTGTGTTGCTATATTGTGGCTTGGGGTATACACTGCTGCTATACTGTGGCTTGGGAATACCTGGTTAAAAATAAGGAGAAAAAAGACCAGAAACAAAAATTTGCCAACAGGTTTTCCATTCAGTTTTACCGTAACCCTAATGGTTCTATTCCATGTTCCATCCAGGTTGTCAACCTTTTTGTTTCTAAATGTGAACGTGCTTATTTCTTCTAGGCAGAAATTATGGTTTAAATGCCTGATTTTAAAATTCAAATTTCAGTCTTACCATCTGAAATCATTTTCTTATGTATATTAACACATTTCTGTTGAGGGAAGCCAAAGCATGCGGGTCACTTCACTGCTCCAGTAACTGGGCCAAACAACCTACTATTTCAGTAGCAAGTAATTGCTGAGATTTATAATACGATTTTTAGTAATCAAAGCATTTCTTGAGCTTTTAAAAGAATACAGAATATTAAATGCATGCTAATGTGAATTGTGGTTTTGGAGTGCTTTCTTTTGAAAGCAGCATTTCTAGGAAGTACCCATGGATAATAGGAGGTGGTAGAACTCCCTTCCCACTGTGCAGGTTTCAAGTAAATGACTGCAGATCATGTCATGACAGTTCACTTACCATCATGCTCTTTACTTCCTTATAGTAATGGAAGTGACTCAGCCAGCAATGGTGCTGGCCAACAGGCAAGGAGTCGCCAGCTTGGTGTGTAAATACAAGCACATCGGGAACGCAAAGGAAATTCGAGTGACGCTGCTCAAACAGACAAGTGACGGGTTCACTGAAATTTGTGCTTCAACCTACACCACGGAGTTTAAAACGTTCAGTGTGGAAGAGGTCATTCAGTGCCGTGTCAGCCCTGGCCGGAACAACGTGACCCTCACCCTCGCTGGCCTGCAGGCCAATGACACTGGCCTGTACATTTGCAAGATGGAGCGGATGTACCCCCCTCCCTATTTCATGAACAAGGGAAACGGGACACAGCTCTATGTCATTGGTAAGCCACAGCTTTACAGTACCCCGGTATTTCCAAGTTAAGGGAGTTCCTATTATGCCTCAAAGGTCATTAGAGTTCTGCTTGCATGAAGTGAGGGCAAATACTGGTTTGATCTCTGAAAATCATGATTAGCTCCTGTTCCTTTCATGCCTCCCTCCACACACCTAAAGCAAGCATAGTCAGAGCCATGCAATGTATTTAGCAACTTAGAGGTGCTTGATAGCATAAGCAATACCATGTATGCCTAGACAGTTAGATACAGAAGTAAAGAAATAGCAGAGTAAAGTGTATGTTCTTCTACAGATAAAGCCTACTTTCATTGGAGGTTGAGTGGGCAGGGACTCAGAGGTCAGTCCTGGCAGTATCCTGGAACAGCACACGCTAGAGAAAAACAAGAGTGGAGGCTGCCTTACTGACTCTAGGGCCATCCTTAGGAGGCTCCTGTGTGACATGACTTGTGTGATATCCTATGTTTTAGATCCAGAACCTTGTCCAGACACTGCCATATATCTCTGGGTATTAGGAGCTACAGCCTCAGGATTTTTTCTTTACAGTATCATCATCTCAGCTGTTCTTGTGGGCAAAGCGGTAAGTCCCATCAATTCAGCCCCATTCTGCTAATAACACCCTTTGTGTGATGAGGACAAGGCGAAAGAAAGGAGAACACTGGGAACAAATGCACTGGGATGCTCCATTTTACTAGAGCAATGCTATTACAATACTGTAAGATAAGAGAACTTGCTGGAGCTGCCACTTGTACTTGTTTATGGCTCGTTTGTGTGCCCAGAGTACTAGAAAGCAGTCAGCTTTCATCAGCTAGACTGAGCCTGGCTTAGATTTATTTGGATGCTTAAAATGGGGGACACTTCTGGAATCAAAGGCAACAGTCTCTGATTTCACAGCTGATTCACACAAAATCCCAGGATTTGATTTTTTCCTTTTCCCACCATTCACCTCTGTGCAAAGCAAATTTAAAGAGGCTTCTCCTTGGATAGGGGGTAATCGTAACTTAAAGATTTTTTTAACTTCACAACTAGAAATCTCTGCACAAAGGCAGGCAAAATGTGAGCCTGTGTTGCCTCTTTCCACAGGAGTCTGCAGTGCTCACAGTCTGCTAGAAATGAATCTGATGGCAAAGCTTAAAACCAAACAGTGCCTCTGTCTCTTATTTTTCACTTAGCCCTTGTCCCTAGAGACTAAATGAAGCTGTCTGGTGTGAACACTCCTAGTTTTGAAGAAACACTGAAATCTAAAGCAGGACTACCTTCAGAGGGCTAAATGAATGGCAGGACTCTTTAATATATATATATATATATATATATATATATATATATATATATATATATATATATTTACCTAAATAGCCTCTGTACATCCTGATCCTCCCTCAAATGGTCTCAACAGATCTCCTGTAAAGAGGCATGTCAGGGAAAGGTGTATAGAATACCTTCTGCTCAGTAAAGGCAGAACATCCATCAGTTTTCTCTAAAAGTTGCTGGTCAATGATTATGCCATTATCACTTGTTTATTTTATTGTCTTCCCATATTTTACAGATAAAGAGAAGGCGATGTCTCACTACCGGAGTCTACGTGAAAATGCCTTCTGAAAAGCTAGAGAAAAAAGTGATTCCATTCCACATCACTGGTAACTGTAACACGGAAGGAGAGAAACCATTTCCTAGCTGGGATGGAAAGTCTGCTAACTCACTTCAGTTAAAGAAATAAAATTAATTGTCTTGTAACAAAGGTGTACAGGAAGGAGAGAGAACGTTCCTTGTAACTTCAGTGGTTTGGAGGAGAATAATTAGTATATGCATTCGTATTCGAAGATTAACCCTGTCACATAAAAATGGCTACCTTAGGCCATTGAATCTTTGAGATGTATTGTACCAATATGTAGTATATATACATATATATATCTATATATATACATAGCATTAAGAGCCATTGCTGTTGCAGTTGAGCATATTACTGTCACATTTCACCATGCCTAATGAACAACTGAAATCCAAACACTATTATGACAGAGGCTTGTGTGTCATTGCAAAGCTGATCCCACAGGTCTGGGGGGCAGAGGCAGAAGAGCACACTAATGTACAAAGGAATGTTGACTCGTTTCCCTGCATCGATATTTATTGGCTCCATTTCTGGCGTTAGTGCTCTGCACTCCACAGAGACATCACCATAGGCCGGCATTGATGACACTGCTGCTCTAAAAGCCTGATCTTAGCTCCCCTCACTGGCTCTGTGTCCCAGCAGTGCTGTGCTGGAGTTGACACTGATGATATCTGAGCCAGTGCTGACAGTTTGGTTGGAAAGGAGGCTCCAGCAGGAACCCTCTTAACGCTGTGCTGGGAGGATGTTCCAGCTCTGCTGGGGCCTTGTGTTTTACAAATGCTAAATTAGCATCTATCCAAAAGGCAGAAGTATGTTGCTGTGTTTAACTGACTCTATTTTCCATGAAAATATTGACAGTGTATAATCTTGTTTATTAGTTATGTACCAGTCAATAAAAACCTTGAAGCTTTGCCCAAATTCAAGTTCATTTCTTATTCACTGTTCTCAGAAGAAACAGGAAGTGGCTACATGTTAGAAAGCAGTGAAGACAACATGAACCCTTCCCCTCTGACCCTGTGTTTTGCCCTTTAGAAACAGTCTGTGTGTTCATGCCAACACTTACATTCTCAGCTCCCTCCTCAGCCAGCTACCATTACAATCTGCCAGTTCTTCTATTTGTGTAGTTAGAGCTGCTGTGATGCTGCTCAGACACTACCAATCACCTTTTCTCTTCCAGCAAAGTTACTTACTTGCAGAGGGTAGCTGTAATGACTTTGACAGAATCTCCTGTACATGTTTCAACAAAACACTTGTCCTAGTTTCAAATCCTGTTTTCTTTGCAGCACTTCGACACTCTCACCCGCTAAATGCTAGTCAGAACACAAAGCTGCTGGAGATTAAAGCTATTTCAGCCTACTACCTACTGCTTTGACTCTTTGCTATCAAAATTTCACCTTGCAACTCAAAAACCTGGCAGCATGTGTCTCTGGTTCACAGCTGTGAATCCATCTTCTGGGCTACACAGGTGTAAAGTCAAACCCCACAGCCCTTTATTCCCTGTTTCTGCAGTGGCAGCAGCTCCCAGAACACTGAATCTCATAGCTCTTTTAGTTAGCTTTCCCCCTCTTGCCCATTCTTCTGGTATTACCTCCAAATGTGCAAAAAACCATTCCCATTCTCAATTTGCTAATGTTTGCAGGTGCTAACTGCTCTCTGTTGATATGCAATTGTACTGCATTAAGTAAATGCAGCATCCATATGACATATCCTTTTTCTGAAGGAGTTTTTAGTATTCTGACATCTGTCCAGGACTTTTTCCCTAATTTTTCACTACTTGGTGTTTTGGAGATAAAAAATGGTCAAAGATCACATCTGGTGTAACTGCAAAATGACTAAATTTTTGCCAATCAAGTTCAGCCCAATCAGAGAAATACGTTCCATGATTCCATGATGCAAAATAGAGTGACCCACACATCCACTTGTACAAGCTGCACAAAGCATGAATAATCACACAGAACAATTTTTTCCACCACAGCAAGTAGTAGTTCAGATATCCTGTGAATCATGTGTCTGACTCCTAATCAGGAATCAATTGTTTTTTCTTTTTCCTTTCCTTGACAACTCCTGTATACTGGAACTAGGAACTTTTCTTAAGCAATCTAAAAGCAGCTCAAGTAAATTTTCCTCAAGTTCATCCCTCCTGGGTGAAGAGATGCTTTGGACCTGTATCCACAACCTCATGACCTCTGGCCACAGCTGGCTGTGAATCTGTGTTACCACAGAACATTCCACTGCGGACATTCCAACTCACCTCCATTTCTAACCCAAATTAGTTAGGTTGACCATAATTAGGCATTCTGCACCTACCTGAATTATTTCCTCTTAGTACACAAGCATTTCCTTGAGACATTCAGCCTGAAATGACCAGTGCAGAATTCTGCCATAAATTAGCAGCAGGTTGCTAAAATAACTGAGTAGTGAAGGTTATAGGAGAGCAGAGCAAAAACTATCATCTCACGTGTGAAAATAGCAATATTTTGTGTTTGCTCCCAAACACAAAATTTTATATCGGTATGATGTTTATTAATTATCCTATTAGAAATTACTTTGCCCAAATTATCTGGCTGTTACGAACTTCTCTTAATTTTCAGTAGTTACTTTTTCATACCCTCTTTTACTTCTGCAGTGCTTCATTTTCTCTGGGTTTCCTTACAAATTTAGCTGCCATTCCTGAGCTAAATGTTACATAAGTAGGCTTTTTCATTTTTTGTTCTAAGCCAGATTCCCCTTTTGAATTTTCTGGCAGGGTAATAGGTGCACTCAAATCAGCAGATACAGTGATACAGTGAAGATCAAAGTGAGATTTCAGTTCAGATTTTACTGACAATGATATTCTCGTAATTTGTATCTGACACTACAGAGGAGTGGAGACTCAATGCCTGCAGAGATGGTGTTTATACCTATCTCCATATGGTCCATATAGCAGCTAGTTCTCATAAGTGCAGAGCCCAGACCTCAGGGAATTTCCATTGTCCCATGCTGCCCTCCAGAACCTTAAGGTCTGTGCTTTTTCCTGATACTCAGAGAGCGTCTTTACATGATCAGCACTCCATACAAGTCAACTTGTATGTCAGATCACAGCAGTACCAAACTGAAAGATGCAAACTTCAAGTCCCTCCACAAGCCAGAAAATACAATAAAGACGAAATCGTGCCGCTTTCTGGGAAGAATGGAAAAAGCAAAGGCAAAAGGATTTGGTCTCAGAACTCTGCTCATTAGAATGGAGAGTTTAAAAACATAACTGTGTTACCTGGACAGCCAAATTACGAGGCCATACTGCTTGGTGAAGTTCAGGAAGAGTCTCTTCTGATGTTCTCTTCACCCAGTCAGGAGCTCTGGCAGCCTGTTTGTGAAACAGAGATAATGAGTTTCTGGCTGCACGAGTGGGCATTCACAGGTGCACTTTGTCTGCATCAAAGAGTGTGAATGTGTGTGAGGGGCTGAGGAGATTTGGAGGCAAAGTACATTGGAAGGTAAGATACAACTGGCTTCTTCCTTTCACCAGACAAAAGTTGGGGATGTGATGGGGAGTGAGTTTTGAAAAATGAACCAGAAAATGCACCAGTTTTCCCTGTGATGGGAACAGTCTGAACCACGTCTAAAGAGCTTGGCCTCTAGAAGAGGCATAAACAGGGATCAGAAGATATATTCACGAGCTGTAACACGAAATCCAGACCAAAGCAGGCTGCTGTATAGCAGATGGATTTATGCATTACTAAAACCAATCTATTGTTGTCATTTGCAAACTGTATGCTTGCTTGATCATGTGAAAGATCCTTTGAGATAGCTTCTATCACAGCTAGGCTGCGAGGCCTCTGCACTCCCTGGAAGGTTAATGTATATTTTGAATGCAGGTTTATAGCTGGGAGGGAGGTGTGGGGTAGAGGTGAAATTCAGGAAATTTTTGAGCTGCAGAGAATGAGAAAATAATTATAAATACACAGCACCACACTCTGATGATCCTGCAGATTCCTGAGCATCACTTAGGCACTTCCACACACAGTTCAGTCACCACTTACAGGACTTTGTTATCATTTTCTGTGAATATTTTTGTGACTGATAAAAGAAGAATCTTATTTGAGGGCACTTTTATATTCTACAGAAAAAAAGGAATGGTGAGGAACTGTAGTATGTTTGAGCAAATAACAGTTACTAATAAAAGATCTTAGAAACCAGAGGTGGGGTGGGGAGCAGTGTAAAAATTGTCATTGAAGCTATTTCAAAAGTTTTTGTTGATTATTAGAGGGACAGAGCAAGGAAGAGTTCAAGTAAGGGATAAAACTTCATTGTGAATCATTAGTAATTGCAGCTGAGGTGACGAAGCAGATGCCTCCGTGACGTAAGAGATTATTAACTAGTCAAAATTTCACTATTCTTTTCTTTTTCAGTTTTTCAAATGTAGTTTTCCTTCTATTTCCATAGTGAGCTGTCTTAACCACAGTCATGTTTCTATATATTTTAATGAACATTTTTTAGTGGTTATGAAGTTACAGTTGAACAGAAAGTTCTCTGTTTTTTCATTGGTGTTTTTTCTTCTTCATTCTTTTCTGACTTTTTTTGAACTGCTTGACTAAACGAAATGCAAGACCTTGTTTTTAAGGAAAATGGAATATCTCACACAATTGTATCATTCCATTAGGTGGTACTTTTAGCTGACCACCTCCTGTAAGGGGATATGTGACACAATCACGAAACATGAAACAGGCAACATCTGGCTGGACTATGATGAGTTCTGGGTGGGATTTATCCACATTGATGCTCTTCCCTGTGATGCAGCAACTTGTGTTGAAAGCTGGAACAGGCAGCAGGGTGCTTTGTTCTTCCTAGACAGGATCAGCGCATGGGATGTGGGTTGTCTATAGCAAATGAACATTAATGTTTGGACCAAGATTGCCATTGACAGGAAAAATCACTGGTTTTATAGGAATAAAAACACCTACACTGAGCAAATACTCCATGTTTCATTCAAACTAGAAACTGAGTAACCAGACCCCAAAGACTCCTAGAGTTCAGTACAGACAGGCAATAAATGAATCCTGCTCTACATTAAATGTGTTATTTTTAAGTTACTATACATTAGTCCTGTTTTTAAATTTTCTCCTTAGGGATTTGCAGCTTCCTTGAACTAGTGATGAAAGGGGCCAGCAGCAGCACTGCTTACTTTTGTGCAAACTAGAAAGTCTTCCCTCCACAAATTAGAAAGTGTGAAGGATTGGTATGTACTACCTTCCACAGCATTTAGTGCTGGGCACTTGCAGCATCATCAGCTGTGAGAAATATCTCAACCTCCTTCCTTTCTGTGAAAATTCTTTTTGGAAGTTGGACTCTGTTGGCCTTCAGCTGAACTCCAGAGATCTCTCTCCATTTGCTAGTATGTGAGGAAAGCTGAGGTGTTTGAAGTTCTGTAGAAACTCTGATAAGACTTCTTTTCATCTTGTGTGCTTTCAGAGTTGGCCTTTTTACCTGCTAGACAGAGCTGCTAGTTCTTGCTATTGTCATCTTTCCACTTTGTTTGAATCCAAACAGATACAAAAAATAGCTTATTAAAAACAGGCCTTCTCTTCTCCTGTGCTACACAAGGTGTTAGGCAGTATTAGGGTCTAACTGATTTGCATCGTGCAGGTTAAAAATGAAGATGCAATGAGCTGAATAAAAATTGTAAAAATACTTGGAGGGGGAAACAAGAACCAAAAATAATGCACATTTGAAACTGTCACAAAGTGTGGTATGTTAGCAGTACTTAATCTAGATAGAAAGCAAAACAGTTCATTTCTTTGTAAGTTATCAAATCCTTCTGGTAAGTGACACTCTGGAAACACTCAGCTTCATAACTGGCTGACTTAATGTTTTACATGCTGGAAAGGTGGCTAGAACAGCAATAATCAGCAGAATAAGTTGGTTTCATAGCTGAGCTTTCTTGAGGTGTTATATCGTGTGGGCAGCATTTATAAAAGCTTTCTCACTTTTAATTCTGTAGCAAATATGACTGTCTGCTTCACAAATTAATAATATTTTCCTTTCTCTTATAATGCTAAACTAATTCATTATATCATACTTTCTTATATGACTAGACTATTGGTCTAGTCTTCTTTTTACAATACTCTCTCACTAAGATGAAACATCTCATGTTCTTTTTTTTCTTCATCTTGCTGCAATAATATAATATCATTAAAATATTTTCTCCAAAGGTCCCAAACTTATATTATTCCTCCTCCCATATGCAAGCCACAGGCACACATCTCGTGTAAAAATTCCTCACATTAATGTCATCATTTACACTGTAATTTTCAGATTAACTTCCATTCTTGTTTCTCATGTTTTTACTTCATATTTTATGACTTTCATATACTTTCATTAAATACAGCAATTGCTCTACTATCTGATCCCAAGGAAGGTGTCGTTCTTTCATGGGAGTGGACAAAGTCACTTCACTCTCACGTTTCAGATGCCTCGGTTGGAAATACACCTCATGCGTTTGCTCTCTGGTTCCTGGAAGGAGGGCAGGCACGATGCTGACTGTGCACACGTGTTTGTCAGCGCTGGCTGCTCCAAAGGACCCGATTGCTCGTGTCTCATCCAACAAATATGGGAAACAGTTGGAAGGTGACACGGGCCACGTGCTGTTCAGTAGGTGGGTGACGCGCAGGGGAGGGGAACAACCTGCACAGCACCTGAATGGAAGTCAGGTGGCAAAAGGAGGAGTCTGGAGGAACTGAGAGGAAGTCAGCCTGGCTGCTCACAGTGTGAATGTTAACTTTAATTGAGGCACCTTGTGAAATGGTTTTCCCTAAAAAGCCGGTTTAGATTTGGCCACATGGATGTTTTTGGCTTACTTATCAACCTGCAGAACATGAAACACTCAGTGCCTAGGTCTGCTCTAGATAGATAAGTACTTGAATTATATCTTCTTCCACTCACAGTAAACATGTCTACTTTGGCAAATTGTTGTGTATAGAAACATTTGGAAAAATGAAATCTCTTGGTATTTTTAAATTAAATACTTGGACTGCTTTGGAATTGTGTTTAACTTAAAATGTTACCTTCATCAAATTTATTAAAAAACCCCTTTTTTGCCAAACATAAAATTATTTTTGTCTCAACTTCCTAGCTTGTTAAAATTTCAAATTTTCAGTTTAGGCAGTGAATTAAAAACTATTTATTCTCATAAATCTAGTCTTTGCAAAAGAACATGAGTAATGGATTTGAATGTCAAACCTGCAAAGAAAAAAGATAACGAATCTTTAATATCACAAAATCCAGATGAGCCCAAATGTAGCAAATACTATTGTTTTGATCTTCCTTTCCAACCTTACAATAAAACCAGAAGTGTTCTGTGTTATTTGTGAAATTTGAGAGGCTAATGAAGATCCAATTATTTTTCAATAACTACTCAGCCTTTTTGTTTTTCTGATTATGCTCTAGGTATTTACCGTTATGTGATTCCAAGTTAAGTTAATTATTATGACAAACAGAACTGCCAGTTGGACCTATCTGGGTCCTTTCAACTTCCTTTTAACTTAATCCTTTCCTTACTTTATTAACTTAATTGTCATGGAGGCCAGTATATGGAACAAAAGCACTGACATTTGTAGCTAATTTATCAGACTCACCCGAAGAGCTTGTTCATGTGGCTTTAAGCCATGCGATTTTAAGTCACAAAACCTTCTGATCATGTAACAGTAACAACAGTGTAAAGTTCAGTGAAATGTTTAGGTGTTGCAGAGAGCTGTCCCAGCAACAGAACTGGAAGAGAAGAAGCTGGAAACAGCTTGTTGCATATGAAGTAGGTAGTGTGGGAAAGCAGACTTGGGATCTAAATCTGTTACACATATACAAGGAAATATATTAATATAAAAAGATGCATATGAAATACGCATTGCTCTTTATTGAGCATGCCTGAAGGCTTCCCATGCTACCTAAACCCCTACTTTATTATAATAAAAAACTCTTGACAAAACCTGTCAGTAATATGCTGTCTTGACTTTGTTCTGAAATAAAACCTATAAATCATCAGAAAATTGAAGTGTTGCCAGTTTCTGTCTTGTTGCTAGAGAATAGTTCCATTTTTTGCTGAAGTGCTGTTTTCAGTTCTTTCAGCATGAAACTGATGCACTGATGATATGTGATCACCAGAGATACCATGTCACTTTTGTAATAAAGTGGTTAAAAAGAATACCCCAGCAAAATCTCAAATCAAGAGATTTTACAAGTTATGCAGAATTCATCTAGCTCCTGGACTGATTTGTTCACTTGGGTAAGTACAAGTACAATGCTCACACTTTCCAGTGGTGGGTGAATTGATCCAATTAGTCACCTTCACTTAACCAGAATTGTCCAGAAATTTCCTGCAGAGAACACTCATTTATTTAAAAAGCCTCTGTACAAGTGTGCATTTGCATGAATGCAGCAATTAAACCATGTTTGACAAATCATTCTTTGGGTCAAAGTAACATTCTATAGTTGGTGACAGAGCCGCTTGCCGAAGGCTGTGATGATATCCAGCTGGGAAGGGAGACAACAGATGGCTGCTGCCCAACCCCACAGCAGGCAGGAGCTTCCTACATCACTGACTACCCTAACCCTCTGCACTTTCAGTGGAAGCCTTTGAAGGCTTCCTGATTCCTACTGAAAATCTGTGAAAGATGGCAAATTTGCACCGATAAAGATCGGGAAATTCTTATCCTGAAACTTTACAAGTCTAGTACCAAAAATTGTACTGATTTATTTGTTTGTTGCATTAAAGGTCTTGGAGATTGCAGAAGAGGATATGCTACTACCAACAGTGTCCTGTTGCAGCATGGATCTGCAGCAGATTCAGTAATGAGTCTGTGAATCTATGTCTTGCAACAGAGCTAGGAATCACTGCTTTCAACAATTTTCAGATACTTAAACATCCTTTACCCAGGAGATTTTTGTGACAGAAGGAACAGGTTGTATGAGGTTCAAAACCAATAAGCATCATTCTTTCATATGCAAGAAAGATCTCTGATATGAAAAACTCATGTGTAGCTCTTATCAACAATTTAGGTGCTGCCACCTACCAAGGATTAGCCTTTTGAATCCATCTCCAATGAACTGAATCAATCTGGAGTTCGAACTGTGCTGGTAATACTGTGTTCAATTTTTCTTTTCCTTTTCCAAATCACACACATACTGCAGTCATGCATCTTGTTTGTACTGTGTGTAGGTATTTCAGCATCAGATATCATAGCTCATCTTTTCGAAACTACATAGCAGACTTTGCCCTTGGCTCTGAGTCCTGCTGCACTCCCTGTTACCTCACTGGCTGGGGGAACACCCAAAGACACCCAGTTCTGCAGCAGAACAACACAGCAGCAGTAACTCTATTTTATACGTGGTGATATTATTATTCTCAATGATCAGGAAGAATACAACAGAAACAAGTACTAATAAGCTAGTACTCGCTTTACAGTGTCTGCAGGAATCATCCAAGACCAGGCAGAGCAAGCAGAAAAAAAAAAGTAGGAATGATGCTAAAAGACACACCAGCAGCTACCCACTTACACGGAATGACCAAGAGCAGATGTCAGGGAAGAGTATAAAAATCAAAGAAAGTATGCTATGAAACCTCAGGAGCTTGAGAGGGTGGTGTCTTTCTATGTAACAACCTCAAGAGATTTCTCTTCCATGTCACTTTTTTGAAACCCTCTGGACTTTGAGTTCAGATAAACAAGGATGATCAGCTGTTCTGTATTACAAAAGAAATGGAAGAACTCAAAACAACACAAAAAGCCTTGAAACAGTGGAAGAACCTAGACAGACCAAAGAGGATATCTGGGGTAGTTTTCAAAGTTTGGAAACAATTAAATGTTTCTTTTCATAGTGGAAAACTAGTTATGTTTCCATGTCAACTAGAACAATGTACATAGCTAATAATAAAATCACCACTTGCTCCTCTGTAAACCACTAGTGTAAATCACCTAGTTACAAATATATAACTAGAAGGAAAGATGCAAATGGCCAAATTAATTTTTTCCCCTTCAACTATTTTTTTCTTCAAGCAAAAGAAGCACCAAACCAGTCCATCACGCAAACACTACAGAGCTTTCATCTGATGTCACTAAAAACACAGTGTAACCACAGCAACCCAATGAGAACTAGAGTGGCATAACTGGCTTACTTTTTTTTTTTTTTCCTGTTACACCTTTTTCTTACCTAGCACAGAAGGAAAAAAAAAAAACAATGGCCTGCAGAGGTACATGCTTAAATCCATATAACATGAATCAATGACCTGCTCACTACAGAACCCTATATTGTTGACTGCATGTGCAACAAGACACCCAGCATAAGGAGCATGTGTACCCTCACCACCCTACTGTGAACATCAACAAAACAAACAGCACTTACAAATGCCTGGGTCACAAGACCAAGACACACACCCCACCAAGCCCCCCCACACACACGCCCACCCACCCACATACCCACCCACCCACACCACCACAACATCAGGCACAGAGATAAGCCTTAAAAAACATCTGGAAAAATCACATCTAGCAGCACCACTGAAGAGTTTCACAGCAGCACCTGAGGGTGACTTTTGTCAAAGGGAGGGAGGCTAGTTCAATTAACAAAACCAAGCATCAGCTGTGATGCTGACCTCTACGGTACGTACTGAGCATAGCGTCATCGCTGATGGCTTCACAAGGGCCATGCCTTGCCTCTGCTGCTGAGTACAGCACGCAGACAAAGGATAAAGAATCCAAGGAAGCAACAAGAAGATTTAAAGAGAGACAGGACATATGTATGTGACTTTTCAATGGTCACCTGAAACAGTGGAATAAGCAGCTGATCTGTAAACAGATCTACTGAGAGAAAACTGAGATTTACCACACTATATTTTCCAGGGCTTATCTGATGAGACATAGCTCCATTCCTGGCCTGGCAGCAAACCAAGACAGCTTCCAGCCAGAAGGGGATTCCTGAGCAATTCTGAAGTTAGGCTCAGGAACTCTGCTATCATCAGCCCCAGATGCTAATGTAACATTAAGATTCAGCAGCAGTATCAACACGGGGAGAACAGAGGAACAGCAACTTTCACCTTTTCTGACAGTCACCTAAATTCACGAGAGTGTAAATGTAAGAGCTGTACCAGATGAGAACAAAAAAAATAATCATAGGTCAAGTATCTTGGCTCACAGATAACTATCCAACAGCGGGTGCTTAGTGAGGAATGCAACAAGAGGAAAAACATCGGGTAATGCAATCCTGAAAGACTCTCATAACCTACAAAAAGTTGCAGCTTGATGACTTGTCTTTGTAACTCAGCCGACTCTGATGACGAGACAGAAATTCAGGATTCTGTAGTATCTACACAAACAATATGGACACCTCTATTTCCCCAGCCTCACTGTGCTGCAGCAGGCCCCAGCAGGCTGTTTGACTCCTCTGGGTACGGGTGTGCTTTGCTGTGGTTCAGTCAGGATCACATGAGGCTACAGACCCAAACTGAAGCAGCAGTGTGGCTAGGACAACAAAAGCCCCCTGAGCAACACTCGCTTTTAATGACCAGAAACCACAGAGCTGAGATGAAAGAGACCAAGCATGTTCTTTTTCAGTCAGTCATGGGCAAGCAGGGAACTGCAGATTCCTATACAATGCATATACCTCTGCCTGGACCAGCTTACTAGTAGCTGGGAACAGTTTAGGCTGAGCAGAGCTTACTGAGGTTTTATTCTGAGCACAAGGGTGTGTGAGCTACTGTGGAGCTTGCCCGAAGGTAACTAGATGCTTCCTGCACTCAGGCTGACACTCTGATCTAGGTAAGAGCTGATTTGGATACGCTTACCCTGAACTGTACTGAGAGTGCCGTGTTTCCCAGGAGCACAAAGGTGCATGGATGGAGGCTGGGAACTCAGTGAGGAAATCTGGAGGCTTTACATGACAAAGGCCAATTCACCAGAATTCCTGTGGTGATCTGTAGTGTGATCAATGTGGTTAAAGTGATGTTTTAGAGTAGTCATTTCAATCACATGTTCTCTAGAGAATACAGATATCTGATTTCTATTTTTTGCTCATTGTCACTCTAATTATTACTGCAAATTCTTTTTCATGTGGTGACAGTGTCCAAACTGGCTGCAAGAAATGTGCCTAGACCCCTCCGTTATAGAGAGGTTGCTGTGATAGAATTAATTTTGCCCTGAATTTCTTTTGCATCCTGGACTTAGTATCAACACCAGTAAAAGGTGTAAGCATGATCCACTTTCTCATTCTCTTGAAGTTGTGATGTGTGCCCTCATGTGAGAAATTTGTCCTCTTTTCCAGTTTAACACGTGCAGGTGAGTGCCACATACTTTCTTTAACACGTTTTGCATGATAGATTTTTCCAGACCCTGTATGGCCACACAAGCTGTGATGATCATAAACATATACTTAACCTTATCTATGAACTGCTCCAATTTCAACCCAGTGCAACTAAACTCAAAATTTTTACTGATGGTATAAGTAAGGGAAACCTTCCAACCTGAAGCCTCTCTGCTCTAGATATGTGTAGTCACAGTTTTACTAACAAGCTCACCCAGGCTTTGCCTGGAACCAGCAATCCTCACCCACTCCCCTGAGGAAGGGGTGCTACAACCGGAACGAAACACGGTGACACAGAGAAGTGACTTCTATTCGAACTCCATTACCTCTTGGTGTTTCCTGGACTGCTGCAGGGACTGTTTTTACAGCTTGTTCTTTCTCATCAAATTAGCAAGAACAGATTAGCAATGTTAAATACCCACACAGAAGACCAAACTTCCCTCTTGGTTATGGTCTTTCAAAACCCCTTGAGCCCTAAGAAACCTGCTCTGTCCCTCCAAGCAAAGGCAGCGGAGACACTCTGCTCTCCGCTCTTCTTTCTGATGAAAAAGAACCATTTTAAACATAAAGCCACGTGCACCTGCGTAGACTCGTGTGGGATTCCAGGAAGCCGCAGGGAGCAGCCGCCCCTTCGCGAAGGCAGACGCCGGGCCGTGCGGGGTCACCCTGAAGGGCTCCACCACAGGCCGGGAACTACCGGGAACTGGGCCGGGGTCAGGGTGATGGTGAGACGCCGGTGTGGCACTAGAAACACCTCCTCGGGCAGAGCCAGCCGCTCGGCGGGGCCGGGGCGGCGCTCGGGGCTGCCCAGCGCTGGGATCCCCGCCCTCAGCGCCCCCGCCCTCAGGGCTGCCCGCGTGGCCCGGCCGCGCTCGTGCCGGGCCGGCAGCGCCCTCGCGCGGCCAAGGGAGAGGCGGCGCGGGGCGGGACCCGCAGCGCTTCCAGCCGCGGGCTCATGGCCCGGGAATGCCGCTCCCCCCGCTCCACAGCGCCCAGCCTGCAGGGCAGCTCTCGGCATCATCTCCTGCACAAGGGGAAGCAAACCCTTCAGTAGTGCCTTGCCGCAGCAGCCCGGGGGTGATTAGGCGCTGCAGCCCAGCCGTGGCTGTCTTTGCTATGGCACCCATCAAAGGAGTGCGGCAGGACCAAGCCCGCAGCGGGACGATCGAGTGATCTCACCTTTGCAGGTGAGAGCACTGCCTTCGGTACTGCATTTGTTCCCAAGGCAGTAACCTGCGACATTCTGAATGACAGACACAAAACAGAGGAGACCTAGCTACATATTTGTGATTTCATTGTTTTTACTCCTTCAAATCCACCAAGGCTCAGCTGTCTAAGCCTAGCTCCAGTTAACCACTAACAACAGTGAGACCTGGCTTGAAAACACCTGAGAAACAGGGGTTTCTAAAGCACTTTAAGTCACCTGGAAACAGAGAGTAGCATGTGTGTGTCCTCAGCCACTTCGGTGTTTCTGAAAGTCCAAACCAGGGTTGTGCTGCTTTACCTGTCCTTGCAAATTTCAGCATAACTTTTGATTTATCTACAAGAATGCGTCATAGCTTTGGGGAGTGTTTCTGTTGGAGAAAGCTCCTCTTTGTCAACACAGTGGTAGTATAAATTTACCTTTAAAAAGTAATCACAACAATGCTCAGATAAAAATCACACCACAAACCCCAAGTAGCACCACAGAATGTAGCTCTTTCTATCGTAACTCCTTCAAGGCAGCTGACCAGATAACCACATAACAGGAGTCCCCACCCTACTACAAGCTTTGAAAGAGTTGGGGTGTGAAAATTTTACAAAATGTGCATAATTCATCACTGTCACACTCAAAAGACAGTTGCATTTACATCCAGAAGCCGAATAACTTCCATGGTCACCCAGCTCATCAGCATGTATCTGTCATGCACTGCTCCCAGGTGCCAGACAATAACAGTATGGGTCCCCAGGTTTGCACTTCATTTGGGTTTTACATATTTCCAATCCATTCTGGAAGACCTCCCTTCTAAACCTAGATATAAGTGGCCCCATAACAAAGTCCCACACAGCAGCCTGTTGGCCATAGGGAACTGCAATGGCTTCAGAAAGCACACTCCTCCTTCTGGAGCACTGCCCATGAACCCAGGCCATCTACAACCCTTGTATTCCCCTAAATACCTCCTGCACACTCAGGGCCACCTGCACATTGGGCCCTTTTTTATCTACACTCCATATCCTGGAGAAGTGGTTCAGTACCTCAGCTAGGTAAGTATGCTGAAGGACGCACAGGGGCTGGCTATGCAGAGGCATAGCAGCTCCTGACATCAGATGGAGACAGTTTTTTCCTAAGTGGTTCTCAGCTGCCTTG